GATTTCTTCCTCCACTGGGATCTGATTTGTTCTCTCCCACAGTAGGTTGTTGCTTATAGTGTCCGGCCAGCGGATCTGAAGTATTTTGCGTAGACAACTGTTAATAAACACCTGTATCCTTTAGACGATGGATTTCGTAGTTTTCCAGGTTTCGGCCCCATACAGTAGAACTGTCTTTACATTTGTATTGAAAATTCTGACTTTGGTGTTGGTTGCTAATTGTTTTGAGTCCCAGATATTCTTCAGTTGTAGATATGCTGCTCTTGCTTTGCCGATCCGTGCCTTCACATCTGCATCAGATCCACCGTGTTCATCGATGATGCTGCCCAAATATGTAAAGGTTTTTACATCTTCCAAAGCTTCTCCGTCAATTGTGATTGGATTGGTGCATGCTGTGTTGTATCGGAGAATCTTGCTTTTCCCTTTGTGTATATTGAGACCTATTGCTGCTGAGGCTGCAGCTACACTGGTTGTCTTCTCCTGCATTTGTTGTTGTGTTTGCGATAGAAGAGACAGATCATCTGCGAAGTCTAGATCATCCAATTGCATCCTAGCTTTCCACTGTATCCCGTGCTTCCCTTCAGATGTTGATGTCTTCATGATCCAGTCGATCACCAGGAGAAAGAGAAAGGGTGAGCGTAAGCAACCTTGCCTAACACCGATCTTTACTTCGAACGACTTTGTCAACTGTCCTCCATGCACGATTTTGCAGTTCAATCCATCATAGGAATTCTGTATGATATTGACTATCTTCTGAGGCACGCCGTAGTGTCGAAGAAGCTTCCATAGGGTTGTTCTGTCCACGCTATCAAATGCTTTTTCGTAGTCGATGAAGTTGATATAGAGTGATGAATTCCATTCAATTGATTGTTCCACAATGATCCGTAGAGTTGCGATTTGGTCTGTGCACGATCTATCCTTACGGAATCCTGCCTGTTGGTCTCGAAGTTGGGCGTCTACGGAGTCCTTCATCCTGTTTAACAATACCCTGTTGAAGACTTTTCCTGGTATTGAAAGAAGAGTGATTCCCCTGTAGTTGTCACAGTTGCTGAGATCGCCTTTCTTTGGTATTTTGACTAGAAGTCCTTCTTTCCAGTCTTTTGGTACCTGTTCCTCATCCCAGATCTTTCTGAAGAGAGTTTGGAGTATCCTTGCAGTTGCCGCTACGTCTGCTTTCAGTGCCTCTGCTGGAATGCTGTCTAGTCCTGCTGCTTTGCCACTCTTGATTTGTCTGATAGCCATGCTGATCTCTTCAATTGTCGGTGCGCCAACATCAATTGGGAGGTCCGTGAGTGCTGCTTCGATGTTGGGTGGGTTCAGTGGGGCTGGTCGATTCAAGAGTTCTTTGAAGTGTTCTACCCACCTGTTTCGTTGTTCTTCAATGTTGGTGATTATCTTGCCTTCCTTGCTTTTCACTGGTCGTTCTGGTTTACGGTGATTTCCGTAGAGTTTCTTTGTTGTGTCATACAGTTGTCTCATGTTTCCTTCTCTCGCAGCCTTTTCCGCCGTCAATGCCAAATCTTCCACATATTTACGTTTGTCAGTTCTGATGCTCCTTTTCACTTGCTTGTTTACTTCTGTGTATTCAGCCTGTGCCTTGACTTTTTCTGCTCTTGTTCGACTGGTATTAATTGCTGCTTTCTTGTTCCTCCTTTCTTGAATCTTATCCAGTGTATCGACCGTGATCCAATCCTTGTGATGGTGCTTCTTTTGGCCCAGAACCTCATGACATGTTGAAGTGATTGCTTCTTTTATCTCTTTCCAGTTGCTCTCCATAGTAGTTCCTTCTCCATTGAGTAGATCATGAAAGGCTTGGAACTTATTGCTGAGGGTTATCTTGAATTTATTGAGTTTGTCATTATCCCGAAGAAGAGCCGTATTAAATTTTCGTGATATTGTCCGCCCCGTTGTCCAGTGCCTCTTGAGTTTCAATTTCATCTTGGCGACCAGCAAGTGATGATCTGATGCTATATCAGCTCCTCTCTTGGTTCTCACGTCCTCAATCGTCCTCCTGAACTTTTTGTTGATGCAGATATGGTCGATTTGGTTCTGTGTGGTGTGATCCGGTGAAGTCCATGTGGTTTTGTGTATGCGTTTATGTGGGAATATATATATATATATATATATTAAAGTTAGTTAATTTATCACTATTAAAGCACAAGCTACACGATTAAATTAGATGTTAAAAATAGTCATAAAAAATGAGAACAATTCAAATCACGGTATTTCTACTACTTCAGTAAATAGAATGAAATTGCTGTTAATAAATATTTCTTTTAGATTATGAATTAAAATGCATCAAAATACTTGAAAATATATGATTTAAACTACTTGACAATATCAAATGAGATTGATAAGTGTGGAATTCTAGCTGAAAATACTAGGTTAGTTCATTTCGTTGAGAAAGAAAATACATTTTAAAACAAACTAAAATAAAATTTTACAAAAACATTTGGTACCTTATGTATTCAATGATTTAGTTCTATATAGTAGGTGGATAAAACTCCGCATAGAGTCCCCCTGGTGCTACTGCCGGCCCGAAGCCCGAATAAAGGGGGAGGGCTGGGCATGAGGTTAGCGACCCCATCCCATAGAAAAATAACTCGCTAAAAAAAAACGCTAACCAGAAAAAATTATTCAAACCATTTAAACTCTGCCCTGGGAGTCAGGAGGTCTTCGTTTAGAAGAATTATGACGCGTCATGATGAAAGCCGAGTTTCTTCGGAAGTCACGAGGCCGATGCCCCTTCTGACAACCAGAGCAACCATTTATTTAGGTACATGGAATGCTCGCACAATGTGGGAGACTGGGAGAGTTTTCCAAATTGCTGCAGAAATGAGGAGATACGATTTAGAGGTGCTTGGGATCAGTGAAACACATTGGACGCAAGTTGGACAACAACGACTAGCTTCAGGGGAGCTGCTGTTATACTCCGGACATGAAGAAGAAAATGCCCCACATACACAAGGAGTTGCATTGATGCTGTCCAAACAAGCACAAAATGCACTTATAGGATGGGAATCTCATAGATCAAGGATCATTAAAGCCCCCTTCAAAACAAAGAAAGAAGGCATTTCAATGAACGTTATTCAATGCTATGTGCTTACCAAAGACTACAATGAAGACGCTAAAGATCAATTCTACGATAGGCTTCAGTCAATCGTCGAGAAGTGCCCAACAAAGGACTTGACCATTCTGATGGAAGACCTAAATGCCGAGGTTGGAATCGACAACACCGGATATGAAGACATCATGGGACGACACGGACTTGGAGAGAGGGACGAAAGTAGTGAGAGATTTGCAAACCTATGTGCCCTCAATAAACTGGTCATAGGCGGCACGATATTCCCACACAAACGCATATTCGGGAGCACAGTATGATAGATGTGTCATCTGTTAAACACTATCTATTATAACATTTGTCGTTTTCATACCTCGATTTCCACATACCAACTTGTAGACACTATTTCACAGAAAGGTGGAGAGAAATATTTTTAACACATGTATGGTATGGTACTTCAAAAAATAACTCACATTTACATGTAACCATAATAATTGGAATACGTAGGAAATAGACTCGGATAGAACAAATCGTATTTGTTAATAACTCTTCAGATTTTCACCTGTGAAATATGAATTGTGATTTTTGCGATAATTTACTACATTTATTTATTGTTTCTTATCCACACAACCAATCAATCTAGTTTGCCTTTTAGGTTTGTAACGTTCATATCTTTTCTGATTCGCAAAATATTTTATTTACTGCTTATAGTCTGGAACTGGGTTATTTGAATAATACTACTTTTCATGTTCAACAGGAAATCTTGTCTGGAAGCTTGGGTTACTTAAAAAGTAATTCATTTGTAGATACCCTTCAGAAATGGATGTTCAATCAAATATCCACACGCAGAAATCCATTATTCCGAAAACCGAGCAAATACATCAGTGATGCATTTGATAAATAACCCAATCACAAAACGATTCTAAGGATTGGGTTGGAATAAAAAAGATAATAACCGTTAACATTAAGATAGTCACTACAGCTATTACCAATGACTACAAGTAATGTTATTCATAAAGCAAAACATCTGTCATGAGACCCATCAATTGTATGTACAGTCCCACCAAATAAAACAAACTACAGTACACAACACTAATAGCTCAAGTAATTTATAACAATCGTCTATTTTAAAGATATTCCAATATATTTCTGCTACAGAGTTTGTACATCTTATGCTCATCAACACAGTTCAATAAAACGTTAGAGATATCCCAAAAATTGAAACTACAGCTAAGGACCAATCAGACATGTTCATTACATTCTCAATGAAAAATGCAGATGTTGTTGATATAATTTGAAAAGTAATTAACATATTAAAATGAGACTTGTTAAACAGCAATCATGAATGAAGTGTCGCACAGGTTTAGTGAAAAACATACAGAACTAACTCATCTGAATAAAAGTCATCCTTTTTAAATGTAAAAAAGATAAGATAATGGTAACCTTCGTGAAAAATGTCACAAGAAAACGAAAAGCAAGTGATGTGTAGTATGCATACTAACAAATATATGATTAGTAAAAAAAGATGGAAATTAAAGCGAACACAATGTGTGCAACATACTCAGATTGATGAGCTGGATAGAACAAAAATAAAGATTGAATAGTAGGCAAGCCCTAAAATGGGTATTAGTTCCTCCAACAATGACTTTCTAGAATTAAACTCAAGCAGCCCTAGTGGTTTGGGAATCCCACATCGGTATATATAGAAGGGGAAATTAAGGAATAGTTGGGAAAACGAGAAAGCAATCACAACAGAAAATAATTTGTTTTGAATATATGTTAAAAAGATTATATTGAACAAGAAAAGTTTCGAAAGTTAAAGTTGATAAACAGGATGAACTAAATAAATAACATGCAGAAAAAACATTTTCGTCAACGAACTGAAAAAACGTAGAAGGAAAAAGGAAAGGTGGACATGAATACACGATTAAAGAGAGGATCACTTCTTGAGTGAGCCTGGTTTTCGTTTACGCACAGACGATGTAACGTCACTCTGATCATCAGAATCGGAAAGGGTTGGATTGGGATCCGAAGAAGTGGAAGATGGTAACGATAAAGCAGGTGTTGTTTCGCTATCGAGGTCGGACTGCTTCGGTTCACATTTAATATGAGAGTCGAGCATCTCCTTACTGACTCCAAATTCATTAATACGATTGGGATCCATTGGATATATCCAACGTTGATATAAGTAGATGAAAAATATCACGTCTAAAAGAAAAGTAAGAAATAACAGTGAAAATCGTATTCAGACATATGATGTAAGTAGCCTACACCACTCTATTTTTAATTGGGCACACCTAATATTTTTGCTTTGTTCCCCTATACTATTTAAACTTGGGTTAATTTTAGTTATTATTCTAGGAAGAAGTGGCTTACACTGAGTCACGAAACGTCAGGAAATTTAATTTTTCTACCCATTGGGATATTACAAATACATTATTTTTATTTATTTCAAGACTATGGTTTAGGTTTGAATAAAAATTCACCAACATAAGAAAAGTGTGATATTAAACTGCGTACAATTAGTGTTGTGATTTAAAGGTGAAGTGCAAAAAAGAAAAACAAACTATCATGATACATTAGTGTGTGCGATTATTTTGTTCTAATAATTGAAATATGTTTTTTTAAAGAAAATGATATTCGTCCACATACATCTGCTACACTGATAAGGCAATCCAATGTTGAATATATTGTTCAATATATAGTTAATTAACGACAGTAGCATAACTTGATTTCCACCAACTGTGACATTAAATAATTTGTACAAATGAAACAATCCAAACCAATCAAAATGATGGATTTTTAATTTTTTGAAAATCGAAATATCACACTGGGTTTTTCAAGATACTACCTTTTATATCGATACTTTTGAACTAAGCTAACAAACATATTCTTAAAAATTGAGTCTTACCGTCACGTAGACATCCAATTCGATACAGAGTAGGCATGCGGATAACAAACGCAAATAAATCATCAATAAATGTATTTAGTGCTTTGTATGTTAACATTCTCCAGGGAAGATGAGCAACAGATTTCATTTTATAATTGATAAACAATTGTGGGGTCATCATGATGAAACCTACAAAATACACCAAATAAAAAAGGTTCAAATGTCAGAAATCACACTGTGTGATGTAAGATTTATTGAATACTTCTTAAAATATTCTTCTCATCAGTAATAACTAATCGAAATGTACAGCATAATTAATTTGCTGATAAAGTTATTGAATCCATTTATTTGAACCATAAAGCCCGTTTAGATCATGATTTATTGAAGTGGGGTAACCGAGTGTTGTTAGAATTATGACTGGTTTTCACTTTCCGGTTGTTCAGTCATGGAAGGATACTTCTTCTTAAAACAAATGAAAAAGCCTGAATTAAGTGTTGTTTTCACGACATGGTAGAGTAACTACAGTGAACAAGGGAAAATTGCTTGATGTCAGTTAAACACAGCCTTTTATGAGTAGCTTTAGATGAGCTAGCTCCATACTTTTAAGGCCTAACTGTTGGGGACGGAAGTCCGTGCGGTAAGGTGAGGTGAGATATTTTCAAAACCAACCTTTCTTAGCATTCTCTTTCTCTTGAAGAATGGCGGTATCTTTGCACATGATGGTTATCTAAAGGAAACATCATAGTGCCGTCACATTACAGTGCAGTACGACTTGATCTTCGAAAACTGAGTTTGCTTTTAGTTTTATTGCTTTCCGACTAACCTGATTCGCAAAGCAGAACCTAAAGGAACGAGTGTTCCACGGCATTCAAGTTCAACTAACAATTCAATGTACCAACTACGGTCAAGAATGTGTTGATCAACTACATGAAAAGTTTGTTTCATAGATAACATAACTAGTAATAAAAATTAATGTTTTAAGATATAAATGGGTCTCAATAAAAAAACCAGCAGTCGTAAGCAAGAATGATTAAGCCGGAAGGGGACTGTCGTACTTGATCACAAACAAGTAGCTATTTAAACACCGATAGTTAATGGATATTATGTACAAAACTAAGCAAAACATTATCAATAAGATAGATGGAAGTTCGAGACAGAAAAGAGTTCGTGATCCCAATCAATTTCACCCCATCTAACTGTAAAATGTGTATTTGTTAAACGTTGACCGATAAAATTAAAATTTTAGTAAACTGATTACGACAAACATTAAACAACTACTGATACACTGGTTCACAATAGACGACACTAAAACATATAACTTTATTCCACTTAAATTAGTCTGGTGAACTAAAACACCTGGTATCTGCAATTAGGATTACTAGTCACAAATTATATATATATAAATATGGTCAAATTTATCATCAGTAAGGTAAGGATCTTACTATCCAAGTAACTCATTGAATACAGACAAAAAATAGATTGTTATAGAGACTACTGATTGCAATAAATGCTTGTCGTTTGTATATTAAATAATGTTTTATTAATTTTAGATGTTTAGAGAAATAGAAAATTAAGATTTTATTAAGTTCAAAACATCAAGCAGCAAAAATTCCATGAAATGTAGAAATCTAACATTGAGAGAATAGTTATTCGGAAAATCCAGAATTCGATGGTGGCTTTAAACATTTGGTAACCCAAATGCTGAACTTGTGGACATCACTCAACCATTGACAATAAAAGATATTATTACTAATGCATAACAGAAGTGAGTGGAAAAACTCAGTGTTGATTATTTGGTAAATGAGTAATGATTGAGTTTAATAAGAAAATGATAAAGTCTAGTTCATTGTGTGAAAATGGTTATATATATATATATATATATATATATATATATATATATATATATTTTTTTTTTTAACACATGGATATCGGTACAAGGAGGCACCAAATACATATGCGCCACACGAATCTCAATTGATTTGTGTGAGGGCTGTGATACTGCCCGGGTGCCCAAACCGAAGCAGGTGGTTTTCTTAGGGGGCCACTCCCCGAGCCTTTGACCTAAAGGTCTAGTCCACAAGGCAGTGGAGCATCGTGAGGAGATGCAGTCCCATGGTAGCCGGTGACCAACGATTGGTTCATACGCCATTTGCTCCTTCAGGATACTGGAGCCCAAGTGCACCATTGGTTTGAGATCCGGTTGAAGCGCCGGACATTCACTTTTCGTCCTCTCATTTTCGTAAACAACACCCCCGCCACGTGAAGGCAGTGAGTAGGACTTCTCTGGCAGGGGCTAAGTACGCGTGGCCATGTGTGAGCATTTCGAGAGGGAGAGCGGACTCTCCCCACCTTCGGCCGTACCAGAGCATTTGGGGGCATATATATATATATATATATATATATATACGCCTTTATACTATGTATTAAATTATACAGCGTAAATACACAACGTTTGCTTGATTTATTTTAATCGACAATGATTGCCATGTCATCAAAATATATTACGCTGTAACCCAATGAAAGATGAATGAATTGACTATTTGAACGCTGTTCTACAACTACTTATATCAAGCTACTTCGATCGAAATTAGTGGCTCATTCCAAGTGTTTAACATAAACTTACCGAATGTCAACAGAAAACCGTAAGAGACAGAAAGTATCCACGAATACCAACCACGATGCTCTTCATATATTAATGAATATCCACAATAAGCTGCTAACAATGGGAATAAAATCCACGATAAATATCGGAAAGCCATCTGAAAAATAGTAGAAATTCACATATAGTTTTTCTGTTAAGATATGTAAATGCCAAGAAACTGATACAACAGACGTGATAAACTGAATATATTAAAATAGACGCCAATAAAAACAATAAAGCTTGGTATGTAGGAAGGTTATATGAACTTGTGAACAGAGTCTGTCTTAGTACTGGAAAACTACATCATATATAACACGATCGCTTTTTCAAAACTAAAAAGAAGCTATCTTTGTGCATTATTCTGGGAGAGATTTATGGACTAGAATTCAGTTTTAAACAACAAAAGCTTAATTTTATTAATTATTCTTCCATATATTGTCATGAAACAGACTAAATGTTCAATAACTCTGATATTATCAACTACATTACAGGTGACTGAGCATAATGTTTAACGAGTATGTGTGGCATTGTCGAATTTTTCTAACACGCTTTACTATATAAACATTATAACAAGATAAAATTTCAATATAGTACAATTTACCTGATCATATTTCTTGGTATCACTTTCTACGTATGATGATTGGTAATCTACATGAATACGTGGAAATACATTGAATACCAAAGAATCATAATCCAACTAAATCAAAGAAATAAGACAAATAAAAAGAGGTGATACTATTGAAAGTGTAAGAGATCATTTCAAAAAATATCAGCAGAAGCTGTAAGGAAATGCATTTAATTATGCCATTAATTTTATGGTCAATACATATGATAGAGGGAGGAAGACATAGAGTTTTACATTCTTTTGATGAAATATAAATTATTTTACATGTGTTCAAATTTGGTAATATAGCCTGCTGGACTAGTTCCAGGAGACCTGTTCAACCATTTGCAACACGTATTTTTCAACTGTATAAATAACCCAACTAAAATAACTGTTCCATATTTGTTTGAACAGAATAGTAAAGGGACCAGTCTACAAGCCCCATATATTAAAAATAATCATGTGCACACTAGTGACTGGTCCCAGTAAGTCATATGCAATGCAGGACCAGGCGCATATATGCGTCGGTCCAAATTGTTACACCTCGTTAGCACAAAAAAACCAACACCAAATTCGTAGAACTAGTCACTTCAGTGGTAGCAATGTATGAAAGAAAAAAATGTGTATAATGATATAATACAGGAAGAAAGAATTAGTTCGTGAAAATAAAACTATAAAACAAATTCAATCTCACCGTTTACGGACAGACAAAGGGTGTATACACTGACGCCATTGTGATCGATTTTCAGCCATGTCACCCAAAGACTCCAATCACTGGTTATGACAGTCACGTGGACCCTAATCAAATAGCCTCCATCTACCAACATCGCTAAAACTAGAAGTCAGTAAATTCGAGCACTTATGCTACATTATGGTTTGACCGCCCCTAACTTTCTTCCGACCATTCTCAATACAAGTCAGCATTGTGTGTTGTGGCAATCGGTGTTCGGGCATACAAAACACGTGGTCCAAACATCTTAGTCAATCAAGATTCATAACCTCATCAACTGATTTACCATCATTCCCTAATACCCTGTGTCCAGCATCATTATTAATTACCTGGTGATCCCAGCAGATACCAGCAATATTTCTAAGGCATCTGTGGTCAAATACTCAGTCAGTCAGCTGCAACGTAGGACCAGGCACGTATATGCATCGGTCCAAGTTGCCATACTGCATTAGCACAACAAGATGAACACCGGATTCATAGGAGTAGTTAATTCAGTGGTGGTAATATATAGAAGAAAGATTGTGTATATGGAGATAGTACAGGAAGAAAGAATTAGTTCCTAGACAGATATGAAGCGATTTTAATCTCTTAATTTAAGGAAGACAGAGAGTGTATACACCGACGCCATTGTGATCGATTCTGAGCCATGTCACCAAGAGTCTCCAACCATTGGTTACGATAGTCACGCGAACCCCAACCAGGCAGTCTGAATCTCCCAACATGGCTCAGACCAGAAGTTAGTGACTTCAAGCACTGATGCCACGTTTTGGTTTGGCCGTCCCTAACTTTCTTCCAGTCATCCCTAACACCGGTTACCATTGCGCGTCGTGGTAATCGGTGTTCAGGCATACGCAACACGTGGCCTAACCATCTCAGTCGATGAAGGTTCATAACCTCATCAACTGATTTTTCATCATTCCCTAATACCCTGCGTTTAACTTCACTATTACTTACCCGGTGATCCCAGCAATATTTCTAAGGCACCTGTGGTCAAATACTAGTAACTTACGAATATCTTCTACTCTCAAAGGCCATGTTTCGCAGCCGTATAGTAGAACGGAACGAACTGCCGCGCAGTATACTCGTCCCTTAATTGATAGACGGATATCTCGCCTTCGCCATAGATGACGTAAGTTGGCAAAGGCCAAGCGAGCTTTTCGAACCCGTGCTGAGATTTCGTCAGACACCAACCCATTAGGGCTGATCAGACTTCCAAGATAAGTGAAGTTGTCTACACGTTCGACTACCTCACTCCCTATCCTTAGTTCAGGTGTTGATGCAGACCAGTCCTGAAGCAACAACTTGCATTTGGAGGGAGAGAAGTGCATCCCAAACATTCTGGCATTGTTGCTCAGTGCTACCAAAAGACTCTGCATTTCATCAGCGTCTTCACCAAACAGAACTATGTCATCTGCGTATTCTAAGTCGATGAGTGAACCTCTTGGTAGGAGACCAATGCCCAAAAATTCATTCGATGAGAATGTTATTCCCAGCAGATGTCTATGATGAAGTTGAACAAAAATTGAGATAGTGGACAGCCTTACAGGACACCACTTGAGGTTGCAAAATCAGATGACAGTTCGCCATAAGTTCTGAGTTGATTGCTAGTGTTCGAGTAAAGAGCCTTCACAAGGTTTATGTACTTCTAAGGTACAACTTTCAATGACAGACACTGTCACAGAACCTCTCAGTCAACAGGGTCAAATGTTGCTTTTAAGTCAAGAAAGACCACCATTGTCGTACGCTGATAAGCATGCCTGTGTTCTAGAATCTGACAAATGGTCAATATATGGTCAATGTAGCCACAACCAGGTCTAAAGCCAGCTTGATTTTCTCATGTTCCCAGTTCACGAGTCGTAGTTAGGCGTCCGATAATTATTGAGGCTAGTATTTTAGATGCTATATTAGTCAAACTAATCCCTCTATGGTTAGCACAGGATGATTTTGACCCCTTCTTATGTATTGAGACTATCAGTGATTGCGACCAGTCAGATGGGATTATGTCCAACTTCCAGATTTTAACTAAAATATTAGTCAACCTAATCGCGAAAATCGAACCACCATCCTTAAGGACCTCTGGAGCCAATCCATCTGCTCTTCCTCGTTTCAGATTAGCTATAGCCTTTTGAACTTCAGGTAGATTGGAGGGACCTTTTTCAATGCTCCATTCAGGCTGTTTGGGAATGTTGAGTAGTTGTACAGTAGCTAACTGGTCTCAAGAGGTAATTCAAAGAGTTCTAGTGAGAGCTTATAGTCAGTGAAGTTCAAACTCGTTGGGTGAAGCAACTACGCACTAAAAACAATAAAAGATAGTTGTTCAATATTGTGAGTCGACAGAAATTAAACGTGCAACCACTGGGTGTCAGTTCAGTGTTCTAAGAGCAAAACTGGCGCCGTGAGACCCAAATGTTTCGGGATTGATCCCAGGTGGGGTCGTAGATGTGCGTTACTGAGAATTGTTTAACTTAGGTCAGTTTCTGATATCTATGACATCTAACAATCTCCACACACCCGTACTGATAAACAATTATTTGTTGTAATAATGCACAATTGATGCTGTACAAAAATCAATGTAGGTATAAAACATACAATAAGTAGAAACAACTCAATAACTACAGGAAGATAAAGGAATGAATACATCCGAGGCACTGGAAATGAATTTGGGACAAAAGTACATGAAAAATTACCCAGTTTTTTTATATAGACTCTGATGGTTGATAACCTGTGAATATCCAGTCTGGGAAATCCACTTGTTAGCTAAGCAAAATTGTGCATTTTCACATAATTATGTCAGATTTTTCAAATAATTTTGTTTTAAATATGTTTATTGAGTCAATGTTTCTTAGATAAGATTATGTAACTTAAGGTTTTCTATTTACTAAAAAATTTCTAATTAAACAGAAAGACTAATCATTTATAGAATCTCTTTGTGTTTGTATAATTCAACTTACTCTGAAAGAAAGGACTTTCTTGATTTTCCAGATCTCAATTAGCAGTCCAAAAACAACTGATAGTTTTATAACAAAATTGGTATCGTTATCAAGTACGTACAGCACAACAATGAATGACTGAAAGACATTGAAAAATACAGAGCGAACTGAGAGACCTTCCAATGATTCTCTTGTTTTCCAAAATTGTATATCTAAAGTGTTGTAAAAGAAATGTATTTCACACTTAAACACGAAATCAATCAGATCAAGCAAAATTGTTCGCAGAAGAATAAACCCTATGAATACATTTTGACTAACAACCACAAAGTTTGGGTTAAGTCTTAAGACATTATAGTGTTTTGATTTTTCTCTTCAATGAATGAAAATACCAAGCTTTCAGACATTAGATGAATTTTTTTAACCAATGTATTATTTAGCCACTATGTAGAGTATGAAAATAGCAAATGCCCTGGTACGGCCGAGAGTGGGGAGAGTCCGCTCTCCCTCTCGAAATGCTCACACATGGCCACGCGTATACAGCCTCTGCCAGGGAAGTCCTACTCACTGCCTTCACGTGGCGGGGGTGTTGTTTACGAAAATGAGAGGACGAAAAGTGAATGTCCGGCGCTTCAACCGGATCTCAAACCAATGGTGCACTTGGGCTCCAGTATCCTGAAGGAACAAATGGCGTATGAACCAATCGTTGGTCACCGGCTACCATGGGACTGCATCTCCTCACGATGCTCCACTGCCTTGTGGACTAGACCTTTAGGTCAAAGGCTCGGGGAGTGGCCCCCTAAGAAAACCACCTGCTTCGGTTTGGGCACCCGGGCAGTATCACAGCCCTCACACATATCAAATGAGATCTGTATGGCGCATATGTATTTGGTGCCTCCTTGCATCAATATCTATGTGTTGAAGTGAATGAAATGAACTATAAAATCAGGTGTTTTGCCTATATATATATATATATATATATATATATATATATATTGAAATTTACCAAAATAGTTTTTACGATGCTCACACTGACTCTCAGTCAGTCAGCAACAACGTGGAACTTCGTACGTACGTAGAACAGTTCAAGTTGCCATACCACATTAGTACAGAGATTCAGTTGTCGATTCAAATCCCGTAGTGGTAGAGGTGGTAAGAGTATAAGCAGTAATCGGAAACATTAGGGTTTGAACATGTTATTCAAGCAGTATAATCCAGTGAGACAAAATTGGAAACAGAAAAAAAGAGACAACGAGAATTCAGAAGATTAGAATTTGAGAGAACACAGAGAGTGGATGCCCCTAGTTTTCTTTCAACTAACTCCTACACCATAAAACATAGCAAGTCAGAGCAGTCGGTGGTTGGGCCTACGTAACACGTGTTCCAGACATCTCAACTGATTAAGTTTCACTACTTCATCAATTGATTTGCCATCCTTACCTAGTACCCGTTTCCTAAAAACTGAGTTACTTACTCAGTGATCCCAGGATATACGAGCATCACATACATGACTGCCTAACTGTTTTTCTAATTGTTTCTGAAATATACTCTTAGCTTGATTATCATTAAGTAGGGCCCTAAGAAGTTTCTTTGTGGCGTCTTCCCTACGTCCAGTAAGACGCCGACAAATACGCGCACGCACTAGAACATGATCTGAAGCTAAGCATGTGTTCCAGAATGAGCGCCAGTCTTCTATCACACTGACTCTAAATACAGTCAAAACAATATTTGTTTTAAACCAGCGTGAAAAAAGGAAGTTAGTAAGGAAATATGACATGATTTATTGAACTCACCATTTTTAAATGCTAACAATTCAAAAACGCTATGGACAATCGATACGACAACTGTTACAGCTAAAAGCAAAGGATTTGTTTCGATCAGTGCTTTCTATATATAACACGAAGAGGAAAAGGGAAAATTAAGCATTGAATAACAAATAGAGGATGAAATAAAGTACACATAATAAATTGTTGATTAGCGATATGAAAAGTGTCATGATTAACGATATTGTTTGACAAGTTGTTATAGAAGGCTATTTTGTGATCAGCATGTCTTAGTTGCTATTATTAGACAGATGATGCACAATGATACACTATGATTGAATGATAGCTACGAGCAAAACCATATTACCAACGACACTCTTTAAATGAACTGATGCAAAAAAAACAAAGAAACAGGCTAATTTGATAGGTAACGTTTTAGTGAATGTTAATGTGAGAAAAATTAGCACAGGCATAAACACTATTACGTCACATTTAACGTACAATCGATACGAGGTTTTCAAGTCACTGACATGATATTGAAATTAAAACTCAAATATCCTGCTTAATTTTTATCTATTATATTACAAATTATTTTCCGCAAACTTCGGTGCAATCATGAATTGCTTCGTTGATGTTCAGGAAATTTTATAATCCAAATTAATGAGAAATGTTTTCTGATGTAGGTGTTTTTGTTGTTGATCAATTTAGTTGCAATTTATCAGTGTGCACTTACAGAATTTTGACCATTCATAATATGTCTATCAATCCACACCTTAACATAATGTACGAGAAAACATAACGTCTCATCGAAAACACTAATTGTTCCGTCATTATTGAACTTTGTTTGACGGCGGTTAATTTTTTAAAGTGATTAACTGTTAATTATCAACGAAACGTTTTAAAATATCTGCTTCACTCACGAAAGTTAAGCAACTAGGCAATACCAAAATACCCCTTTCGGCCCATTAAATTAAACATTTTAGAATTTTGGCACTAAATTCCGCCCTTTTGTGAGGACGGTCCACGGGTGAACTCGAGGAAGCTCTAAGAAGCTCAGAAAGAGCCGAAGATATTCCATCTAATCACCCTTTGGAAGAATATTCTACAACATTTACGTGTAGCTTCCCGATTGAGCAGTGCTAATAACCCCCTGTGTGCGGATTGGATAGCTATAAAAATGATTTTGTTTTTTACTAAAAACTATAAATACCTGACAGTTTTGTACAATAATTTGACACTGTCTGGAATAACATTCCTTTCACTAGTCTTCTGTCTTCTCATTGAGACTTGGAAGGGTTCTAGCGTTCTAGAGCTTAAGTTATACGCGGTATATCAAGAATATAAGTTGTAGATATAACAACTTTTAGTTTGAAAAGAAAAGTTTTTACAAGTAAACAGTCAACTATTGATGACAAAATTTCAATATTATATTTCTCAATAAACGTTCACCTGAGTTCAGAAGCGATAAGTATTAAACAAGCAAAGAGTTAACCTCTCAGAAACTACCGATAACTAAGTGCTAAAAGCTTATAAGGAAATGAAAATGGACGGCATATAGATGACGTTCTGTTCAAGGAGTCTGGTTAGTTAGTGAGTCAAACTTTTTTCATCCTTAATTCCCCAGTTGCAAACTAGTGGTTAGTATTCAGCTTGTCAATTTATAAATGAAAAGTTTGTCATATTGATTTATAGTTTGTACAAAATGAGTAAATGCAATATACGCAATATTCAAAAGAACTCTAACACATCTTCCATACCCATAAAAAAGTTACTTTGGTGACTGAAAGACTGGTGCAGATAATTCAACACAAATAAAAGATATTTCAGTATATGTCAAGTCATATTTGTTTGGATGTAACTTATAGCCGGTCAATCAAATAGACTCATTATGTGAAACTAATTTACGGATCAGACAGAAAAATGATGCAGAAAGATAACCTTTAGTAGCCATAATTTGGTTTCACTTGCTTCTTGGCTGAATGATTGAAGATTATTCTATGTAGAGTTCAACGAAAGGTCGTTAATTCCTCACCATACACGCTGGTTGGTAAAACACTCTGAACAAACGAAATTCAACAGAACAGTAAATGATGGTAATTCTGTTCAACAACACTGTTTGATGTCTCTTCAGTTCACTTAAACTACTTAAACAAGATTCAGTAACTAGTATATTTTCGCTAAATTCTGTGGACAAGTGTGACATTTTGAAGACTTACCTATGGCTTATACCTGAATTTCACTTCCACAACGAAAATGCGATAAGTAATATTGGTTATTTAGTATGTTCAAATTTATAGATATAATAATGATAAAATAACAAAAACTGTTTATATTCACAGAGATAATAAGATCAAAATAATTAGCGAACTGCTTTATGAAGACAAGAACGAAGTTCATGCTAAAACTCAAAAAGAAGCAAAATCCTTGTACTCCACATCATTAATTTTACCTTTATTGTATCTTGTTCCTCATCATTTTCATTTTCTGATGGTAACATAGAAGTGGCCATCAACTGGTTGAACCAAGTTTTCTTAGCTGTCTGTGCAGCGTACAACTGCCATTTGAATAGAGATAAAGGTGCTAAAGTAATATGAATTGGTAGTATTGGCGTAGTTTCATTCACTGGTTTATAATCTTCATTTAAATTCCAATAATCATTCAGATAAACAACGGGATAATATTCATTGGTCGGCGAATAGAACTCGATAACTGGAAAATTAGTAAAAACCCCAATCGATTTCAGAAATGTCCGTTCGTTAACTTATAAAGAGACTAGTCATATATACGTATCCATATATATAGTGTATATAACAAAAATTAATAGTCAGAATTTATGCCATTTCTAGCAGTTGAATAACGTATAGCCTGTGTAGTGAAACAAGTGGTTGTCTCAGTCTAATTAAAAACAGTTCACGTTTTCTAATTATGACAAAAAATCATGTGTCATGATGTTAAAGCACAAATGAAAACAATTTTTTAAATGAGAAAGCATAGGAAGTAATCATGAGAGTTTATTTAGGGCATACAGAAGTAGGCAAAATAATGATGATCACTGAAAATACTAACATTTTTTGATCAATTTAATAAGAACAAAAAACATTCCACAAAAATCTGTATAAAGATTGGAGGTAATTGGAAAATGATACGACCGGTACATAACATACATATCCGCATGGTGAATACAACTGACCATTTCATGTTCTTTTAGTGGAAATATGGTTACTATATATGAAGAAATTGAGAGCGCGATGTTGATTAAAATAATTTGCATATTTTGCGTTTTTTTAAAAAAAAACAATTGTCATTTTATTTGAGAAATACGTTAAATATTAAGCAAAAAAGCTGTTGAATAAAAGACATAAGACATGCGACAAATGCCAATTTGCATAATTTTAGTTAGTACTAGTATCGATCGATGACGCGCAATCTACACATTGTATAAATGATGAATTAGAGCTGTACGGTGAAGGGATTACTGAGTGCAGTACGTATGTTTAAGAATCATGAATCCTTTAATTAGACCCTGGAAGATGTTGTAAGTAGGCGGTGAAAAAACCCGATAACAATGGAACTCAAATATTTCACCACAGAGAAATTTTGATTTTCAATAAATAACAGTTTATGATAAATATGAAAATTTGACTTTCAAATGACGAGAAAATCTCATTGTTTTCTAGAAGTTCACTTAATGCAAAATTATAAATTAGTCTTTATTTTTCGCTTTAACTTTGTGCACAAAGAACAAGTTTGGTTACATGGACTAAAAAATCGATAAATGCCAAGCATACAAAATGTTGAAAACACTCCGTAAAAACTGCGTTAAATATGTTTATTATCTTGATAAATAACGATCAAAAAGCGCATTTCAATCACGTTTAATTAGCACAAATAAACAGTATACAATGTGAGTCACTAATCTACCGTGGAAGTGCATAACAACAACAAACCTTGAAACAATAAACAAATAACATTCAAAAATAGCTACCACATTCTTTTTTCTGACTAATTTCCACCAAAGAATAAAAGTTGATCAATAAATCAAAACCTATAACAATGAGATTTACCGAAGAATAAAAAACTCCGATACAAAGCTGAAGCGACTAAGAGTTTCACTAGAGTTTGGAATATACACTAGAACTTTGTATTGAGCCCAGAATCGACTAATAATAACAATAATGCAATATTTCAAAGTTGCAAATACGAAAAAAATATACGATTAAAATAATGATTTGTAGTGTGAAAATTACGAGGACTGAAAATTTGATCATGATAATAGTGATCATCTACAACACTATTGATTTTATGTGTTATGGAGAAAATATGTACACTGAAAGGGTAACTTGCATTCCTTTCGGTTTTAAATAACAATTTCGTAGCTACTACTATTATTTATATAAAATGAAAAAGCGTAATGCAAACATGCAAAATAATTTTTTTCGACGAATTTTGTAACTACTGAACATCGAGATGAAGTAAAGGTCTATTTTAATAGAAGTTAGCAACAGAAATTGACGATCGCTTTACAAATTACATACATATGAAACAGGAACAATAGCAGCTAGTCGGTTATTATGTTAGCCACACCAATTAAATATGAAATTTAATGAAAAGTAAAGCTGGAAACATCGGATACTCCAACTTGACTCCAATTTGACTTTCTACATAACCTCATACAGTCAACGGATAACAAGTTCAGGAGCATAAACAAAATACTCGTGCATATATGCCATGTTACCTTACTTCCTTTTTTTACTTTATGTACGATGAATGCAACTTTAAGAATATTGAATTTATAAGACCGAATTTTGAGTTGTTATTGTTTTAACTTTTATCCAAATCCCAATAAACACTAGGTTCCAATGGTACATGTAGATTAAAATGATTACATACTGACCTAAAATACACTTAAATAACCTACTGTTTTATTCCTAGTTAACAAGTTTCACTGGTTTGATATTAACTTGAGGAAATATTCAGGTTCCTGAAAATTTGAAAACCTAATAAGAAGACTATCTACCGAACGATTTCCTTTTCTGAGTTTTCAATTGTAGCACTAATAGTAGGAAAAACTTGTTAGTAATGATAGAAGTAACAAAGAGAACAATGTGAGAACGAGCAGTGACTGTTTAAGAGACTGAACACTAGTGATTTTAATAAAGGGAACTTGAAAAATGATGTGTCGATGAATTAAATATTTACTGTATATATTGATAACTTCATGAACAACTATCAGATAATATTGTATGACACACTGAACAAAAATCACATGTCTTTTATTGAGTTATAGGTTATTTGAAATAAAAGAGTAAGAATTTTCGGTACTAAGAAACTTAAACTCCCAAGTATACGTATTACATTAAAGCTGATAAAAGTAAAATCATACACCACTTTTCACTGAAAACAATAATACACTTACATTGATCCAAAGGAACTGGAACAGAACCTTTTACCCATGGAGAATGGTCATCAACTAAGTTAATAGTTAAATTTGGATGCCAATGAGTGATTGGAGGTAAATATTGTACATCAGATGGTGTCGAAGAATCAGCTATCAAATCTGGATGGGAATCAGTATGACCTGTGATCAGATTCGCAGTACGGGATAAACGACGACGTTTGTAACGCGTCAACACTGAAACAATACAGTCAAATAATTAATAAACCGTGTGTTAATATTTAAACTGAGTCTTTTTTAAATGACTGCAATAGAGTTGTCAACAGTACGAAATGTATGTTAGGTAAAAGGAAGAAAAGAAAAGCATTTTAATACTTACTTTTCGATTTATATACAGTATACTTTGGTGAATAGTTATTGCCCGTATTTGGATTTGGTGAGAAACCAGGTTTAACAAAATATACATGTATATACAATGAACCGTTGGACATAAGGTTGGGAAACTAAAAAAACAGGAAGAGAAAAATGGAGAATGATTGATTTAACGTAGTTTAAGGCAAATAATACACGTCGACAAGAGTGAAGAAGTCACCTTCTATCGTGATAATCTACTATTTACAGGAAAATCGAAAATCTGGCCAGGACTAAACGATTTACACAAAAATATACGTCTAATTTGGTAATCCGACTAGACTCATGAATAGTCAGTCAGTCAGCTGCAACGTAGAACCAGGCACATACGTGAATTGATCCAAGTTGCCATACCTCATGACTCATAAATAATGGATGACATTCATTTTTGAGGGTTATTTAAGTTAACCGCTTATCCAAAACTTGGTATATTAAACGACAAAGGAAAGAGATAAGTAGGGTAGAGGGATATACTTTAACGGAAAGGCTGAATCAATAGAAATCAAGAGGTATAAGCTAAAAGAAAGGGATCACGCCAAGACTAGAATGCTCAACGTAAAGGCTTATTGTCGTACAAGAAATTAATGGATAACTTTCTAGGATAGCTTGATTATAACCCATTCTTACGTTAATACATAACATTACGATAACCAGCGGTTACTTATGTGTGGAATGTTTTTGAGCTGCTTCAGTCAATTTAGATGTAAAACCTCATCGATAAGTCTGCTTTTTTATTTAATAGTGCACAACTAGCACTAGCACGAATTACCAGATGGTTTGCCATTCACAGGCAGTTTCAAAGATGTGTATAATTGACTATTCGTAACTCCTACCTGTCCACAGTGACACACAAAATTTTTTAGGATACTCAATCGTCCTGATATTTTGCTTTTAGTTCAACTATAAACAATAATCAGAAGTAAATGAGATTTGTAGAAATGTCAAGATTTTGTAAGTCAATAAAATGCAAGAATTGATTAGACTACACAGGTAGCGTGAAAAACTCATTCAGTGTTATAAATTTATATCGTAAACTAGTTGTTGATAGACTATCCGTTATATATTGGTGTGACTAAATGAAGGCCTGACACCTTTTCATGTATTTCTAACTTTGGGTAAAGTATCTTATTCATGACAGTGGTGAATAGTGGACAACTGAAAGGTAGCCAGAAGTTGAACTGTCTATCAAAATCAACTGTCGTTATAAAAATTGGTCACAAACTAAATTTTCTTAGCAACACCCATGTAGATTGCTACCTTCTTTAGACTCGTTTCTTATAAATCTAAACAATCGCTTAACATTGCATATTGCCACCGTCGTAATTAAGTTTAGTGCCAAAAACTTTTAGTCCAGATTCACTAAGCTTACACATTATAATGTGCTTTGCTGAATAAACTGAAATTAATTTACAACCACTTATTAGTTTACAAGTAGTTATTGGGATCCGTTCACCCTATGAAAAGACATGATGAAAGATAATAACATTCTTTACTATTTACTATTTTACATTAGCCACTCTAATAGAACAGTTTTTAGTTTTTTTCCTATGCATATGTAATATTATCTACTATCTCAAATTAAAGACTTTTGACTCAGTTATCTATACAATACATATGCTACCGACGTGTGGTCTTTCAAATGTAGCTACGTTGGACCCATTAAGGTATATAAACATATGCTCGAAACGGAATGATCGCAAAGTGGTAGTTTGATTATTTACTCTTCCCAATGGTGACAAGGAACTATAAAGTTTACTTAATGTCTTGATTCCATTATCATTCAAGTTAGCTAGATGTTGAAGCTAACCATATCGAATACATTTGACTTCCAAAGTAGACTAGACATCCACAAGACCACTACTTTGTTAGGACAAAACCGTAATTAGCGAATGTGTGGGTAGGAACTATGTAGAGATGTTCATAAAGTCGTCAACTGCATTTGAATAGCATAACCGTTTTATGACAGTTAACATTATAAAATACTGAAGGATAGATTAAACAGTAACTTATTTATCTATATTAGTATTCACACACTCAAAAAAATAAAAAACCACAAAAACTCACCTGACTGCATTGAATTTCACCGATCTTTGAATATGAACCATCTCCGCCGGGCCCACCATTCCAATCCCCATACGTAATATTGGGTTCATACCAAAACAGAGCATCCGAGTTATTAAAGGAATGAAATGTTGGATCTTCACTTAAATAGACAAATAAATCCATCAGTGAACCCGACTGATAAAGATTTGTGGCTGGAATAACTGTTTTGCTCGGATCCATCTGGTTAGGTGATGGACGACGAAACAAGTTGAGGACAAAGTATGCTGTGAGCAGACGGAAAGCAAATGCCTTCAACATTCCCCATTTGTTCGGTTGAGCTTGTTGTTGTTGAACAGCAGGTGTTCCTGTTGTACCAACAGCTGGCATGACCTAAACATGACAAATAAGAGGGACAGAACAAAAAAATGTTTTACATTGTGATAGTTGTGACACAATTGACTCATATTTGGTATGATTACATTATAATTCTACTCGGTGAGGTTTCAGAAGTTAGCAATTGAATACTTTCACTTAAAGTACAGGTTCTACTAATTATAGAGACAACCCTGATCATAATACTAAAGTAACAAAGTTATAAGAAAATGTAATGTAACAACCATACATACAAACCCGACTTATCAACTAACGATATCATTACAACGTTTACACATTACCAGACGTTTCCAAGTGCAAACCTGACAAAGAATGGACTTCAAAAGTGAAAAGTAGTAAGATACATTACAACCCGAGTATAAGAACCGTTTGCCATAATTGGTGAGAACCGGATTAGACAGAAGCAGTAGCTTACTCCCTGGTGTTGTGCTGTGTCTACCATTACTCAAACAAAACAGCAAACCATCTGCAAGTGTTCAGTTTATCTTACTAGTAATAAAGATGTTATTTGCTTGAATACTATTAGGAATTATGGTTCCCAAAAAACTCGAAATGATGGCCAGAGATACTTCACTGAACCATGTTTTTAGGTCAGTATTTTAAAACCATGGAGGTATAATTGTGTAGTAATCGAATAATTAGGCTTTCAATCGTTAGTTTACAGATACCAACTTGATTTGAACGTTTTCAGATTTCTTTCGACTTCTATTCTAGACAACTCCACAGATATAAAACTACCGCGATGATACATTTCATGAGACTATACTTTACGAACGACTAGATTCAGCAAGAAATCATAGACGCTAATAACAACCACTTGAGATGTTAATAAGCAAGTCTCAGAGTGAAGGCCAACGGCAGTCCTGTAGTAATTGCTTTTACTTTCACAAAAGTGAAGAGAACTTTTGAACAAACATTTTTCTTGGTTGCATTTCTAACTGAACTACCTTTTCCACAGCATTTTACTCCTATTCACTTGTTTTTATTTATCTATGTTCTATTAATTATGCTCACATTCCTTCCATTATGACTTAACGATCTTATTTTCTTATTGTGAGGCGCATATTTTGTGCGGCGCTTCTTTGAAAAGATACGAATAAGAAACCTGAATAAGAAACAAGGGGAATACAAAGTTTACCTCTGCAGGAGTAGCGTCAGGCATTTCGAAGTTTGAAGTTTCCAGGTCTAAAACAGAAGTGAAAAACTGGATAAATGACAGTATTGCACAAGTTGACATCAAGAGCTCATAAAAATGCTCAGACGCCGTAGCATACAAAATTGCGTGAGTTTTACACAAGGCTACTATTTGTTAGTCAAAAAAGAAATCTAATCTTGCAAAACAAAACCGACTGAGACCTAAAGTATTTAGCGAACTGTTGGTTTAAATGCAAGAGCTAGACACAGTGTACACAATAAAATCTGAAAAAAGGCGCTAGCCAAGCCTTTTAAATCTATGGTGAGCACAAAAAATTATAATATATAGCGCACTTACATAAAACACACTATGCACGGCTTCAATTCAACATCCCGGGTACTAAAGATCACATGTCCAATATTTCCATTACATCGAAATTGTGTAGGATAAATGATTAATATATTTTTATCTCCGTACGTCGCAGAACGATTGTATGTCTTAGATACAGTTGCGTTGATGAAACCTAGTCACCAAACAAGAGTATTTCAGACTTTTAAATATACACTTGTTAGTTGATATTGAAGCTATACGAATAAGCTTGACATAGAATTGTGAGACTAATAAAACTGACTATATCAGTGTTATCTGATATTAGTTCCACTTACTAGACTATCACATACAAATGTGGTAAAATGTTAAACTGCTGAACTGGTAATTCAGATCAGGAGAATTTTATTGGTGATCCAATCCAGATCCTTGACTGGGGCACTAACAGCATCCAAACAGTTAGTATTCGTTAAAAGTCGGCTTCAGTGCCAATCATTGAAAGGCCGTTTATTTTTTTGATTTTCTTATCACTATAACTCACTCACTCCTACTGGGGTAGTGGTGACACCAATTCTTGACCAGTCTCAAGTTTAAACCAAACGACCCTCCCGTTGATTAGCACTGCTCTGATGGCTTACTAAGTCTAACAGCGTCCAGTCTTTCCTCACTACAAGGAGCTACATGGCGCAATATTATGACAATAAATAATATTCTTCATCGGTTTTTCGTCCTTCCAGGTCTCCATGATAAGAAAATAATGGAAATGAAGCTGCATGTGCACGTCAAATCACTCATACTAGCGTAAACCAATTTAAATGTGCAGAAAACCGATATATGTACGAACGTACGTACCATACTACGGCGATAAAAATGTGACACAAAAAAAGCCCTTGGGATTTTAAGAAAGTGTACGTACATAAGCATACTATGGACAATTTTTTCACGCAACGATGAAAAAATATGGCAATCCCATCAAATACTTATTAGACGCCAAAAATGGGATGAATCAAAAAGCTTTAAAATTCAGCACTCATTCAAGTGTACAGAAGACCTTACAGATCTGATAGAGAGAATGGTTTTTGGACGGTTATCACATGCCAGCGATGTTTCGTTGTGGTTGGGATAAATTAAGGATTACATATGTCATAAGAATTCTACCGTTCAATTATTTATCGAGAAAGTCAACACAGATGAGTTTTCCTATATTTAAGTGGATTTTGGATGGTCAATGTTGATATCGTAAGACGGGTTGGACAAAATCATCAGTTGACCGAAGTTGATTGGGAACAGGTTTAAGTGAACAAATAGCTTTTGTGGGCCGGCTCATGTAGGAGTTTAGGTCTGTAGTTCCATTGAGCCATAACCACACAATCCTCAAAGCTGAACACGAGACAACTAGGAAAATAGATATTTAACATTTTTATCGCGGTGAAATACCCAACGATGGAGAAGGAGGTGGCAATGAATTGAATTAGTTCGAGTTAACCTTGCAGACGTGGTCATTATTGGATGTTAACATGTACCTTTTATTCATAATAAATATATTGTTCGATCTCTAGCTTTAATGTGTTCTTCATCATATACTGATTGTTACGACGCGATAAGTTGGTGTAGATAATAATGTGACTTCCATGTAAGATCTTATAAATTAGACAGTTACACCATGACAAATCTGCAATTTTCTGATTGTCTGTTATTAGAGCGGTACTAACATCATAGTAGACCATCATTCTACAGGTTCATATTTATCACGAAAAATGAAGAATCCACGAATTTTTCTGTGAGTCTGAGTGTCGTTCCGTAACGAGTTGTGCTACAGTGTACCCAGCGTCAGTTTTCATTGCATTGACAATACACAACACACGTGGAAAACCTCCTACCAACCCGTTAGCTTGTGGTTGGCAGGCGGACATTTGTAATCGTGCGACTTCTTAAAGTGTAGCAAGATGACTGAAAAACAAGATCCGAAATGACGTATATGGTCTTTGGTAATGGTTGAAGGGCCGCTGAAATTCGCTACCCACCGTTCGAAGAAGTCGCTAAACATTATTTCGGCAGTGATGTCTTTGATAGACACCTACTAGCCATCGAGTGAAACGGTCTAGACATACTAAAAGATAAAAGTATGCATTGAATCTGGTAAGGGTCCTGCCAAAATGGTCGAGATGAGCTCCAAGAGTTGAGAAAGAGCCAATCAACATTGGAGATTTCTCTGGAGCTCGTGATTTAGAACATTTTATATATATTCCATTCAGTATCTACTTTCCCTGTGCTGCGAATTCTGCAATAGACACAGAAGAGTAAGCTTACGGTCAAACGGGAAGTTTCCTTTATGTCAGTGTAATCCTTTTAATGTGCCATAAGTAGTGAACGACTGTACTTAAACTTATGGCTGCCGGGAGTTTGCTTAGAGTATGGAAGATTTGAAATTCAAGCTGACGTCCACTGCTACCCCAATAGTTCATGGGCAACAAGAATATGAGGCTCATCTTTTGATGAAGGAGCTTGTCATTATTTCAGGAATTATATACCTGATAGAAACCCCTTCTGATTATCAGATAAAGTAATCACTATTTGTCCAATGAAATTCTTTGTAAAATACTGTAAGGAACCTTCAGATCAAGATGTACGTGATCAAAACATATTTAGCGGTAAATAAACCCCAGAAATTGATAATCCTGTAAGTCTTCGACATTAGTGGTTACCTCATCAGTCTTGAATAACACACTCTGGATGAAGACGCTTGGTGCATCCGCACAAAGTTACCACTTCATGCATCTTGTTTCTAACCTCTTGAGACAACTAGCCAAATTAAATGGAACGCCTTATAACGTATCGATAATTTTTCAGATATATCTTCAAACTCTTTCATTTCTGACTTTTAATTTGACAGGGTTGGAGTCTTTCGATTATAGAGGTATTCATCTTTACCTGTATCAGTAGCTTAAAAATAACCTAATAGATATTTAAAATATCTCGCCGCCTCTAATTCCGTTGACTTACACGAGAGCATGTTCTTAATCTCATGTCATAGACCATTCCTAGCTCGCGAAATTGCCAAGACGGTATATAAGCTGTACAACGTTTTGTAGATGTCCGATGATAAAGCTTCCCCATGACTAGACGGTTTTTATCTTCCGATATTTTCGGCATGTAAGCAATTTCGAATCCATCCCGTTCAGTTTCGACTGAAGTTCAAGGGTTGTTGGCGACAATCAATGATGGATATCAATGTTTTTCCTGAAAGACCGATTCCTTCGAAACGATTAATAGTACAGATCCCCGACAAACTAGCGGTATTACATTATCCAACCGTGAAATATACTATATGCTTAAAGCAGATTGTAAAACTTAGTCTATTTGGCTGGACTTTCGTAGATAGTGTTTGTTAACTAGTGAGTTTAGATAAGATTATCAACACCCACAGTTAAAAAAAATGACGGACCGTCGTAATTAACTGGTGTCCAAAGTGTCTTACCTCATAAGACACTAAAGGAAGTTTCTTAACGGGATTGAATATCTTCTGATTTGCAAAATAATGCTGATGTCGAGTTGCAAAGTATGTAATGCACTTCCTACATGTGAAGATGTATTGCAGATGCAGTCGTCAGTCATAGGAATTTCTTCGCAAGCATTATCCATGTCGATTACTGAAAAAAACAGCTATATCCTTCAATATAGACCTCAAGGGAGGTATAACGAGTTGGATTGGTTTTAGAATTTAGTCATTTACAATCACCATCAAAGCTCCAACAACTAAAAGCCTGTAATGGTTAATAAGTCCACAAAATAAGTAATTCGGTAAGTCTTCGACATGTGCTGATCTCAGTGGTTTTACTGGACGCATCTAGCTGAAGGTGACCGGCCATGCATCTGCACCAGATCATGGGTGGGTATGCGGTGCTACGCATCCCTTACAACTACTAGCTAGATTAGACCAAATGCTCCCATGGCATACCCATAGCCTCCTAAGTACATTTCCCAACAATCTCATTCTCGAACTGACTGTTAGCCGAAATTTGTTCACGCATAAATTTCATTGTTTGGGAAGCTACAATTTCGGAGTATTTGTTGGTGCTCGACTTACTTCATCATACATTGAGGCTGCAACCTCCGGCATATTCTGAAATTATTTTAGGCCAAATAGAAAATAGTGGATTCAGCTTGTCAGTTCAGATGGCAATGACCAAGAGAACCTCTATGAAACCAGTTGAGACACTAAATAACGTACTTGACAAGGAATTAGATCGGTATGTAGATCACTAAAGCAGATAATCTATGTCGAATGATTGATGGTCTAGTCGGGATAGAAGGGAATGGTGTGACCAACCAAATAACTTCGAATTCACACCTCTTGGTCAGCACCTAACGTGGATAACCCCTTCGTCGTATCAAGGTACTAGGATTGCTTTGGAGACCGCATAACACAAAGGACGTTATTACGGAAATATATCAGTAAAAAATAAACCCAGCACTTCGTTATAGGTTGTGTCGATAACTCAAGGAAAATGTTCATGACTAATGAATTTCATTATATATACATATTAGCGAAGCTATTGTTATAGTAAGTTCAAACAAATGAACTTGCAATGTACAAATGCGCGTTGTTTGAAATTAAGATGAGATTGCGTGTTGTCGTACAACAAATTATCCTGACACCATTCTGTTTTCATCCAGCTCTGGTGCGTCTTTAGGATTGA